ACTCCTCAGCTTTTAGAAGCCCAAGCCCTCAACTGAAAGGATACCCATGCCCCCAATTTCCCGGCCAAGTTGCATGCCCATTATAAATTAAACATTTCAGCATAAATAAATAAATGGTAGCACAAAGTTGAAAGCAGCAACAACACAGCAGCAACCTCCATCAGATGGCGGCAAATCAAAAACTTGGCTGTGTTGCTTTTGTTTTTGCCCGAGAAGTCGCGTTGCACTAAAAGCTTATAAATTATTGTTCAGTTTGTTGTTGAGCCAATGCAAAAACAATAAGAACAACGACAACAACATTGGGGAAAGAAAGTACAGGCAAAAAAGTATTAATAAAAAATATATTTTTGGAAATGGGAATGGGTAAAACCAAAATATGATATGTAAAAATTATGTTGATTTCACCATATAAAATTTTAGAAATATTTCTATATGCTAAATATTATATTAAATAAATATCAAATATAATATAATATTTTTTTATTGAATTTATATTTTTTGGAATTTTGTTCGGTGTTCAAATAGAAGGGAACAACGAAAACTCAAAATGGCACTAAAACAGGAGCAGGACTAGCTGAAGCTCAGTTAATTTTTAACAGACCCTCCTCGCCTGACGTCACAGTTCACATCAAGGACTTTCCAACCTGTCGCTTTCCCCTTATTTTTTTTAAATGGGGGAAAAATAGAAAAGGCAGAGCGCAAAAAAGGAAAATGGTTGCAGTACTCAAGCTGCCACAGTTTGACATTCTGTGATTTGTGAGGCCAGCAGCAGAAATAAAAACTTTTACTTTCTGACGAGGGATAAATAAAGTTTGGTTGTATTTAAATAAAATTAAATAATTTGAAAAATGAATTTTAAAATTTCTGTTAGTACTCAAACGTATTTGTAGTACGTTGTTTACAATACATTTAAGTGGCAGGTGTTCTGTTGATTTAAACCTATCTTTGGTAAAGAGAATTTTTATAAAATTGTAAGGTATTTATTTTAAGAGAATTTAATTATGAAAATAAATTATACCTTTAGAAACCTATTGAGGTTGATATTAAAAATCTTTTAAATTTAAACATATATGTATAAATGCATTAACAACAAGATATGTGTATACATACGTCTTCAATTATCTGAACATATGTACCTTAGTTGATGGTTTTCCGGCAGGTTGCCCCCAACAACTTCTCCTGCTCACCTGTTTACCTCATCCCCCCTAAATTGCGGCTATTCGTTGTTTGATTACAAGTCTGTCTTGTGGGTGAGCAACTGGACAACATATTTGCATATGCATTTTGAGCAGCTGCTCGTATACACGTTTAATGTTGCCGTCATTTGGGAAAGTTGTGATTTTTGTTGTGTGTGCTTGTGTGCATAGTATGTTGTTGACATGCTAATAATGATGCATATTGGCATAAGATGCTTGAGAACCCCTGGAGTTTTGAGTCTTGGGTCTCTTTTAGCACCTACTGGCCCAAAGTCAAACAACGGAGCAACAGCAAATTAGCAGAAATGCAACAGCATCAAACAGCAGCTCAAGTTGTAGTTGCAGATGTGAATGCTTCTAGTGTTTTTTCATACCCTATAATGGGGTATATTGTTTTTAGGTTCAGTTATAACATCTAAAGAATTTGGGAATTAAAAAATAGTATATATCATTATAATATTTTATAAAACTGGATAATAACTATAATTTTTTAGACACAAACACAATTTTTGGTATAACAGTTACAAAAGGTATAATCTACCGACATACCAAAGTTAATAATGATTCATAAGAAATCAGGCTATATATTTGTAAAAAACCCCATATCACCTAACTTTGTTGGAATGTGATCAGAACTTTTGGGATACAGACTGCCAAAGACATAATAAGCTGGAATTCCAAATTTCATAACGATTCAAAAGCCCGTTCTTGCGAAATCAAGAGCCATGAACTAAGTAAATCACAGTCGGGTGATAGCTACTTAGTGCTCTTATGTTGCTCCCGGGCTACACAATTTCTTTTATGCTTATGTTGGACAAACAGACAGAAACGGCGGCAAACAAAAACAACAAAACACGGAGAGAACAACAACATAAGCTAAGATAACAGACAGCAGCCCGGCGATTTCTTAACAGCCAGTATACGAAATGCATTTCCTGTTATTATTGTTGGTGTTTGCTGCTGCTACCCGCAAAACTCAACCAAACTCCCCAACACGTTAGTTGTGCATTATGAGTTCTGCAGACCCCCTACCTATCTCTGTCTCTTTTTCCCCCTCACAGAGACTGTCTCTTTCTGGCCCCCAAATGTGAGCGCGATTGTTTGCTTAGGTGCATGCTTGCATGATTTCATCGCCGGCAGCACTTTTTGCCTCTGTGTTCCTGTTGCTGTTTATTTACTCAAAACTTCTTTTACATTTTCCCCAACGGTGTATGCATGCATAAATTTCCATACCACCCACACACATGCACATACTTTCACCTACACACACACACACGCACATCAAATGAAGAGCATATATGCCAAATGAGCGTAATTAAGTGCTGAGGATAAATGGGTTATTGTGTGGTACAATCTGAGAAATTGTTAAAATTCGGTTGCAAAAATATTATTTTTTTAAAAAGCTGAAACAAAATTTATATTTTTGTTGGGAAATGTTAAGGGTATATCATGCAAACATCTTAAAAGAATAACTTAAATTCAAAAATATTTTTTAGAACAATTTTAACAAAGTATTACTAGTATATCTTTGAAATATTACAACTTTTTCATGCTTAATTTTTAAACTTTTAAAAAAATCTGATTTAAGTTTAACTAGTCACAATCGAAATTTCCAAATGCACTTTCTTTTTATTGTTCTTCAGTGCTGGCAAAGTTTTTCTGTTGAATATTTTCTCGCAGTTGCATTTTTACATATTATTATAAAAAACTTCCACTCTCACTCACTCGCTTTATTTAACAACTGCCGCAGTCTGTGCGTGTGGAAAATTCTTGCTGGAAAGTTTACACATTTTACCTGTTTTTCTTTCTTTTCTTTTTTTTTTTTTGCTTTTAGTTTTGGCTAGCTTATCGAAGTCCTGTCTCGCTTTAGTTTTGCTTTTCTGTGTGGTTTCTTTTGCTTTTGGTGGGATAACAAAAAAATGCTGAAATATTTATACAACAGCAGCAGATTTTTGCTTAATTAAATATTTTGTTTGTCGGGTAGAGAGAATTTTCTGGTTACGAAAGCAGGAAAAAATACGTAGACTTTGTGGTGCGTTTTTAATAAGCTATGCGTTGGCATGACAGAACTATTGGAGTATATTTCATCATTTAAATTAGCACACAAGAGTGTAGCCATGACGACGAGGGCAAATGGAACAAAAGGGGCAGGCACAATGCCTTTGGACATGGCCAAAATCAGATTCAGACAATGGCTCAAAGCCCATCCACTACATCCTTTTTTCCCACCCCCCCACTTTTGCAAATTTAACAAAAGGCTGCTGTCCGGGTGGTAACAGCAAATACAACAAACACTAAGGCAACAACAGCAACATCAAAAGCCAAGTACAACAGCAATTGACAAATGTCCAAGGTGCAGTTTCAGTCCTTCTATTTCCCCACCAGCCTCTTTCCTCTTTTTTGCCCAAAACACATTTGACAAATGTCATCGTTCATCTGCTGCTGCTGTTGGTTCGAAATAGAAATCACTGGATGCTGATTCAGTGATTTCCCATAGTGATAACAGTGTCACGATTCGATTTGCATATTGGCATTGCCAGGGGTTCAAAGGTCACGCCTTGGGTGTCGAATTGCGAGCAGATCTTGTTACTTTTGGTGGAGTTAATGAAATAGGAGATGGCTTTAGCTTAGAGTGGCAAGGTTGCATCCCTTTTTAAGGGTTATTTATAAAATGAAGATTACAACATAAGCTTAGAATAAAATTGAAACAGCATTTGAAGATTATTCTTTGGCTTTGGCTCTAATTGAAAGGTTAATCTTTAAATATATTAACCAATTTATAAATATTCGACTAGCATAAGTACTGACCAGACACACTTAAAATCGCTTAAGCAAAAAAATTGCGATCTAAAAATAAGATTTGAATGCGAGCGTTCTTAGAATTTGTTTATTTTTTTCTTCTCTTTTCCAATATATTTATCAATTTAATTTATTTATTAATTATTCATTTCCAAAATATTTATACTTATGAACTTCGTCTTTACTTGCCCAAATACCCTACAACTCCCTGCATCCTGTGATTTATTCCCGATTTTCCAACAGTGATACCCAATGTCCATCTCTATGCACTGTTTGCTCTGGTTTTTCCGTACCTCTCCGTCGCTGCAAGCTCTCATTACTATCCGCTTTCAATAAATCTGGAAAACTTAATTTCCGGCTGAATGATGTTACCAACCAAAGGCATTCCGTTCCACCTCAGACCTCGGATTTCCATCGCTCTTTGGCAAACACACACATTTTTCACCTTTAAGCGCTTTTCGTAATTACATTTCAGCTGTTGCCCAACAACTGTATTCGTTCGTTCGCTGGTTCGTCCGATTTTAACTGCTTTTCTGCTGCTGCTTTTAATAAAGTTTATCTAGCGATGTCCTTTGTTTCATCCTTATCGACATGCACAAATTTATGTTTAGTCCTGTGGGGTCCTTTGTGCGCGAAGAAGCCGTGGGCGGGCAAATATTTTCATGAAGTTAATTGAATTCGAGAGGAGGCAAAGTGAGATGAGAGGTGGCTGCCTCAAGTGAAATTTCGTTGCTGCTTAACATAATTTCTGACTGGATTTCCCTACACAGTCTACTTAATGGCCTCTTAATTGCCACTGCATTAAGTGACAAAACTTGTTTAGCCCTCAAAGATGAGTTTTTGTGTAGGGTAAGTCCCCAGCGATGATGTGATGAGTAGGGTTCTTCACTCAAAATGAAATACAACACGCACTCAAGTGGCCAACTCAGTGTAGGGTTACACTGCATTCACAGAAATATACTAACAAAAAAAAAACGTTTCCTTTTTTTCCCATTCCCATTCCAGGTGAAAATCCACGCATCATCGAGCATCCCATGGACACGACGGTGCCAAAAAATGATCCATTTACGTTTAATTGCCAAGCCGAGGGCAATCCAACACCAACCATTCAATGGTTTAAGGACGGTCGCGAACTGAAGACGGATACGGGCTCGCATCGCATAATGCTGCCCGCCGGTGGTTTATTCTTTCTCAAGGTACGCATCATAACCAATCAACTCATTTCGATTCTCGATTCAACTCTATCATTAGTGGTTTTACAGCTGTCGATGAGGAGGCGTGTATTTGGGTTCCCATGTGAAACGCAACATTTGCTTATAAGCAATTCTTTTTCTCTTCATTACTTTTTTTTTTTGGCCTGGCCATATTATTTTATGGGCTTCCGTCTGGTTGGTTGCATTTCGGTTGATAGGCAAAACAACCTGATGAACAAACAAAAGATGTTGTTGTTTTGGGGGTTAGAGCCCCAAGTACTAGACCAACCCCTATATCATTTCGTGCGTGCACATTGCGCAATTTCAGCTAACGAGACTCCTCGAAATCCCCAAACTCCCTGCAAAGAAAGGGTGTCTCTTCCCATCAGACATTGCAATATCCTCGGACTCTGTTTATATTAAATTCCTACTCGTTTTTTTTTATCCTTCCATCTCCCTGTTATTTTCATTAAATGCAACAAATTCAGTCTGTGTTATTGTTTTTCCACAAATTATTAATGGCTCAGTGAGTCTTAAAGTCTGGTTTAAATTTAAATTCAAATATTAAAAAAACAAATCTAGCAGATACAAATTTTCAAGTTCAAGCCCGAGGCAAACAATTTACTTTTATTATTGTCCATAACAATTTCTTCTGTAATTTGTAATTTTTTTTGGGGTAAGTCAACCCCATCCAAAGGCGAGATTCAGTTTGTTGCCAATTAAAATTGAAGTGGCCAAGTGATTAAGGCCCAACAGAGGCAGGATGCTACCCCTTGGGCTTGAGTGTATTTTTTAATTAAATTAAATTGCGTATACGCAGACTGGACAACGGCGAACGAACAAAAAGAGTGGGACAATGGGCCATGGCACGTTTCACTTTTATTTGATTTCGGATGAGCGATTTTGAGACTTTTTGATCTGACACGTGACCCGGGCCTAAGCTGCCCAAAAACTACTTAAATCTCTTAACTCGTGTATCTAATAATCTGTATTCCCCTCGCTTTCCCCCCAGGTTATCCACTCACGTAGAGAGAGCGATGCGGGCACTTATTGGTGCCAGGCCAAAAACGAGTTTGGAGTGGCCCGTTCCAGGAATGCAACGTTGCAAGTGGCATGTAAGTAACCAAAATTAACAATAACTGCTTAAATATTTATGTAGCAATAAAGTTTATGGCATAGTACAGCAGTTGTCCATTTTGTTTATAAATTAATATATGTTTTATGGTTTGTATTCCGATCGTTCGGGGATATTTAATGCAGTTTCATCAGTTTATTATAGTAGCAATGATTTATTTTTGTTGGTAAAATTTTTGTATTTAATTTAAAAAATGTTTTATTGTTTTTATTCCATACAACTGGGGTTATTAATTGCAGTTATTCAGCTTATTATACCTTTAATAATTATGTTCCATTTCTGTTGGCAATAATTGATAGTATATTAAAACAGAAAATACTTATATGACAGCTCTCGAATTTTTATATAAATTTATAATCCATTAATTTAATTCCAAAAATTTAAATATATCAAGTGCAATTCTTTTAGCATATCATGTATTTTAGCAGCTTAACCATTACAACATTTTGACAACTTCTTTAGGGCTTAGAAAAATAATTCAGTTTTCAAAAGCAGGAATGTCAGAGCATCAACCACCCAAAAACGACATTGATCGATTGGCCTTTGGGCCAAGGCAAAATTTTCAGCTAATTGGAGGGTTGCATTTCATGAAATTTACCCCAAAATCGGGCAGCTGCATTTCAAGTTCCCCTTTTCGGGGTTCTTGGTTTCTCCACTGTGCTTTCTAATTAATAAAAAATAAATAAAATAAAGTTGGAAGAAATCCTTTTTTGTCTGTAATCGATAGCCAACTCATTAGAGTTGTGCAGATTTCAGGCGCAAGTTGAGATTAATTAATCTGGTAAACCGTAAAGGATTCCGATTTCCACAGAGCTTAAAGCCATAAAAACTTGACCATTTGCCGGCATTCTATCCTACTTATGGCAAAAAGAAGCCAATGCATTGGTGTGTTTTCATTTCGGTGCCTTTGGCGTTCAGTGGAGCGCATTATGCGTTTATTGAAGTGCATTTTGCATTTCGCATTTTACATTTTGTATACTCTCCAACCATTTTGCATTCTGCATTTTCGCTCAATAAAAAATGCGAGCGAAGAAGATGTGCGAGTGGTGGGCGAATAAATAAAAGTATAAATAAAAATAAAAATAAGCATTGCAAATGCCAAAGCTTATTAATATTTCCGTTGAGCGAGAGAGTTGTGTCCGTTCAAAGCCGTAAACCTGAAACCTGGGCATCATTACCAAGCTTTTATTGGCGTATTGAGGCAGTCGAGGGACGGCATGGCCTGGGATGGGATGGCTTATAAAATATGGAGGAGATGTAGCTGTAGCCGGGCAAAGTGGACGTTGCTGCCTGTACACCTGACAGTTATTAATATTGAATCAATCAAAGCTCTTACTCCGGGCCATTTTCTCATACTCACTGGCGTTTCGTTTGTCCACCTTTTCCCATCCCTTCCACCCACCAGTTCTGCGCGACGAATTCCGCTTGGAGCCGGCAAATACCCGTGTGGCCCAAGGCGAAGTGGCCCTGATGGAATGCGGTGCCCCCCGAGGATCCCCGGAGCCGCAAATCTCGTGGCGCAAGAACGGACAGACCCTGAATCTGGTCGGCAACAAGCGGATTCGCATTGTGGATGGCGGCAATCTGGCCATCCAGGAGGCACGCCAATCCGACGATGGACGGTACCAGTGTGTGGTGAAGAACGTGGTCGGAACCAGGGAATCGGCCACTGCCTTTCTCAAAGTTCATGGTGAGTAAAAATAAATGCATTTATTTATAATATCTAAGAAAAATCAAATCAAACCAAAAGCTAGACTTGAAGCTTTATTAAAAGCTGGTGATAAACGATGCCTTAGCAGCCTTACAGCATATAAGGCTGAATCAGCAGATGCACCGTATACAACCAGCATATTACATCTCTATATTTTGAGTCTTTTAAAGGTTTAACTGTAATTAAAAATGTTTTTTCTAGTTTCTATTACTCTAATTTCCTTTTTCAATGTTATCTTAACTGAAAGTATATTTTCCTATATTTTATTTCCCTTCCAGTTCGTCCCTTCCTCATCCGTGGACCCCAGAATCAAACGGCTGTCGTGGGCAGCTCGGTGGTCTTCCAGTGCCGCATTGGAGGCGATCCCCTGCCAGATGTCCTCTGGCGACGCACTGCCTCCGGCGGCAATATGCCACTGCGTAAGTTTTCTTGGCTTCTCATTCAGCTTCAATTAACCGGAAATGCTCGGGCAGCCATGTTGCTAACGTTAGTGGTTTGGCTCTCTTACTGGGCCAGTTATTCACACATACACAGGTCGAAATTTCAAATGAAATTAAAGCTTTTTTGTTTACCCATGGCTCAAGTATAGTCGAGGGTTCGTTACACACTCACACAGAAGGCAAAAAAAAAACAGAAAAAAAAATATAAAACAAAACAAAAAGTTAGTTTATGCGGTTGCTTTGGCCTGTGGCTTTTCGTGTTGCCAATTGGTTGTGTTTACGGAATGCACTGGGAAATATTTAAAAAATTTTCTTCGATTTGAGAATAAATTAATATTGGCATTTATTTTTTAAAATTTTAGGTCACTTATTAGGAACTTTTGTCTAGTTTTCAGTAGTTTTAAATAAATTTATAAAGATACATGTTTAAAAAAATAAAAAACTAAACCATGAAGTTAGGAATATATTTAATATTTATTTTTTCCCAGTGCACAAAACACCTCTATAACAACACTACTCCCCCCTGCAATTTCGTTTGCTGTTGTTAGTTTGGGTTCACGGTTGGGGTGGTGCGGTTTTCGGACCAGGGTAGCCACCCTCTCTCCCAGACTAGACCCCAGCCACGCCCCCTTTTCCGTCCTAGCTGGGCAAACACAACTGTAACTTTTAATTCCGTTAATTGCCAATCTCTGTTGGCAGCAATCAACAATTTTGCTTGCACAACACTCGACTGTTGCAATGTTGTCCTTCAGACGGAGTCAGTTGCCAACCCGAAGGGCAGTGCAACCACTAACCCCTCTTTCAGGGGAGACATCCATGCCATCTCTCACCCCCTTGACACTTTTCTCCAGCTAGTTTACGCTTCTTTAAAGACCTCAAAGAAAATAGTAGCAGAAAAGATGCCACTCGGGGGATGGGCCATGGAGCCGCCTTGGTTGTTGTCCTAAACTTTTGTTAAGCAAACAATTGGCACAGAGTGGCCAGGAACACACAGAAGCGAGAAGGTGCACCCACATTTAAAACCTATTTCGCAGTCAGCCAACCAAAAAGAAAGCAGAGTCAGTTTTGCCGCCAAACCCCCCCAAAAACCTTTGTCTTTTCTTTCTGTTTATTGTACGGGAAAAACCACAAAAGGTGCTCTGCTGCTCCTCCATTGAGATGGAGGGAGGGAAATGGAGGGCATGTCGCATCTTGTCTTGGCTTACTTTGCTGCGGTTATTCGGCTCTCCGGCTGTGGAGAATACGGCTTGGCCATTTTTCCGCCACTTGAACTACTAACGAAGTAGAAGCAGCAGCAGCAGCAGCAGCAGCAGCAGACAGATAGACAACCAGAAAGTTTGTTTTTCTTTCGAATGAGTCTGGGCCGATGGACCCACACCCCACAACCCACATCCACACACACATGAAATTCATTTGGCCGATTTTCTCCATTCTATCGACAGGTCGTGTGCACGTACTTGAGGACCGCAGTCTGAAGCTGGACGACGTCACGCTGGAGGACATGGGCGAGTACAGTTGCGAGGCGGACAATGCGGTGGGCGGCATCACGGCCACGGGCATCCTCACCGTTCACGGTAAGTTAATTGCCAGAAAGCAGCGGCCAATGCTCAAGGAGTGCACTTTGAACAATCGTTGAGCGCCATTTATTTATTGAGAAAAAATTTAAAGTTTAGAAATACACTTAATACTCAAAATTTAAAAAAAAAAATAAGAAGAATAAAGAACAAACAATTTGAACTATTCTTCAAAATCAATAAATACAAATTTCACCATAACGAAAACGTTGAGCGCCAACTTTGCTATAAAATTCTTGAATTAATTTGCACATATCTTAAAAAATTCTTATAAATTTTTCTATACATTTTTCTCTAAGTGCTAACATATCCATTCCCCTCCCCCATTTTAGCACCCCCCAAGTTTGTGATACGCCCCAAGAATCAACTGGTGGAGATCGGTGATGAAGTGCTGTTCGAGTGCCAGGCGAATGGTCATCCCCGGCCAACCCTCTACTGGTCGGTTGAGGGCAACAGCTCCCTGCTGCTTCCCGGCTACCGCGATGGTCGCATGGAAGTGACCCTGACCCCCGAGGGTCGTTCGGTGCTTTCGATAGCTCGATTTGCCCGCGAGGACTCCGGAAAGGTGGTCACTTGCAATGCCCTCAATGCCGTGGGCAGTGTCAGCAGTCGAACGGTGGTCAGTGTGGATACGCAATTCGAGTTGCCACCGCCGATTATCGAGCAGGGTCCGGTGAATCAAACGCTGCCCGTGAAGTCGATTGTGGTTCTGCCCTGTCGAACACTGGGCACCCCAGTGCCTGAGGTCTCGTGGTATCTGGACGGCATACCCATCGATGTGCAGGAGCATGAGCGACGTAATGTCTCAGATGCTGGAGCTCTGACCATTTCGGATCTTCAGCGTCACGAGGACGAAGGCCTGTACACCTGTGTGGCCAGCAATCGAAATGGCAAATCCTCGTGGAGCGGCTACCTTCGTCTGGACACTCCCACAAATCCCAATATCAAGTTCTTCCGAGCAGCAGAACTTTCCACCTATCCTGGACCGCCGGGAAAACCACAAATGGTGGAAAAGGGCGAGAGCTCGGTGACTCTGAGCTGGACGAGGAGCAACAAGGTGGGTGGCTCCAGTCTGGTGGGCTACGTAATCGAGATGTTTGGCAAAAACGAAACGGATGGCTGGGTGGCTGTGGGCACGCGAGTGCAGAACACAACCTTCACCCAAACTGGATTGCTGCCGGGTGTGAATTACTTCTTCCTAATTCGAGCGGAGAACTCTCATGGCTTATCCCTTCCCAGTCCAATGTCGGAACCCATTACAGTGGGAACGGTGCGTAATTATTAGTATTTTTTTTTTTTTTTATTAATTTTGTTTTTCTTACCATTTCGGCAGAGGTACTTCAACAGTGGTCTGGATCTGAGCGAAGCTCGAGCCAGTTTGTTATCCGGAGACGTTGTGGAGCTAAGCAACGCCAGTGTGGTGGACTCCACCAGCATGAAGCTCACCTGGCAGGTATGTAATCGACCTCACAGACAATACCCCCAACCCATTCCATTACTCATCCGTCACCTTCCCTTTGTTCATGCAGATCATCAACGGCAAATACGTCGAGGGTTTCTATGTCTATGCGAGACAGTTGCCAAATCCAATAGTCAACAATCCGGCGCCCGTTACGACCAATGTCAATCCGCTGCTGGGCTCCGCATCCGCATCCGCTTCGGCATCCGCATTGATTTCGACAAAGCCAAATATTGCCGCTGCCGGCAAACGTGATGGGGAAACATCGAGTCAAAGTGGCGGAGTATCATCCCCACCACTGAGCACCAAGTACCGCATGCTGACGATTCTAAATGGAGGTGGCGCCTCATCCTGCACCATCACCGGTCTCGTCCAGTACACGCTGTATGAATTTTTCATCGTGCCGTTCTACAAATCCGTCGAGGGCAAGCCTTCGAATTCGCGCATCGCCCGCACCCTTGAAGATGGTGAGTTGAACAAATTTTAAGGGATAGAAATAAGAGGGTTCTTAGAAATACCATTAGCTCCTTTGATATGGGATATTTGACTGCGTACAGTGCGTACAGGGTATGAGCATGCTGAAGATTTATCGAAAATAATGAAACTCTGTAATCGATAAAAATGTAATTTCGATATTATAGATAGTTAGACTTAACAAGCTTTGTCTCATTTTATATTGATTAACCTTTCGAATTGATCGATTTAAAAGCTAAAGCTAATAGATTTTATACATATTAAAAAATTGTATAAAGAAGTCCGTATCACTTTTAATATTGTTTAACTCGATAGGTTAATCCTTTTATGATATTTGCTTGTAATTTAGACTTCAGTAACTTGCACGCAAAGAATTCAATCCATTGATTGTTATCTTTGCAGTCGGGCTTAGAAAATTCCATTTCCAGCTTTTTGGATTGTTTTTTCATACTGTCAGTCAGGATTTGTAATCAATTGTGAGCACTGTTTTCCCTAGACTTTCTCCCGCTCAAGCTAATGAAGCATGTGCATCAAATCCAGGCGCAATCCAACAAACCGTATAAATACCTTTACAGGAAACAACCCCCGTAAATCCGAGTGAAAGCAACCCCAACCCCCAGTCATGAGCCTCATGTGACAAATGCAGAAGGCGGGCTACAGGGCACTTTTTGCATTGCAACAATAACCCAAATTCAATAAAAGGATATGAGCGGTAAAAGGAAAACGGCTGAGCCTTTATCCTTGGCGGACATCAGCTGCGCTGAAATGCGGGTCGCATAATCGCAAATTATTTTTGCCAGGGTCGCACAACCCAACACAAAAAAAGGGCGTAGGCAGTTGGTTACTTTTTTTCTTTTTAATCGGGGGCCATGTTATAGGGCGAGTAATGGAAAGTATGTCAATCACTGAGCACCGACAAAAAGCGAATCATGCGTACGTAAATGCCAAACAATGTTAGAAGCGCCCAACCGATGATACACCAAGGACAGCAAGGTAGGGATGTCAAATCCACGTGAAAAACAATTGCTCAAGGGGCGGAGGATAACATTTCCAGTTGGGGAATCAAAAAGAGTCTCAAATCAAATGCGGTTTGTGTGCGGAATACTTGATGTCGGCGATTTACATGTGTTATACATCTTATGGGGGTGGTTAAAGGATTGTCTGCAGTTCAGCCAACGGTTTAGGGCTATCTAAAAATATCATTGACAACCAGGGAATATGTCAGATAAGATTGTTTCAAAAGCTAAAAACTTACTAGCCAAGAAAAATGCAAACTCAACGGGAAAAAGAGGAAACTTTCCAGACAGGTTTATCACTTCATTCCATCACCAGCAAAGCTGTTCAGATACAAAAACTTCCGAAAGTGCAACGAAAAGTGAACAATTCTCAATGAGCAAAGTATCTCAAAGGGCGAGGGAAATTAAAAAGAAAATAATTAAAAAACAAAAACCAGGCAAACAAAGTATGAAAGGGAAACGCTCGCACAGTGCCGCAAATAAGTCAACAAACCGCAGCAATATAAAATGCACAAACGTCGCGAATCTCTGTGCCACCTGCTCCTTTCAAGGATCAACCCCTTCTCTGCACCCTGCTGTCATCAAATCAAAACTCATTTCGCATGCATCACATTTTCACTTGGCTGACAACAACCCAAAGAAATTGCCAACGCAATTGTGTAAAGATAAACAACAATTATTGCTGCTATATGAAGCACTCAGTACCCCAGAATACCCCGCTCTTTTATGTTACAGTGAGCCACAAAAATGTGCAGTGCTGGCAATGCAAATGTGATGCGAGTTTGCTTAAGCAAGGAGAAAAGGCTAGGACTCCTTTGCACCCGCAACAGGAAACATTTTTACCCACGTCGGAAGTTGGCAAATAAAGGTGTGCTCCACAGAGTAAATGTTAGAGGGTAGCAAAAGGAGGTTAATTTTGAAGATTAGTCTGGGAACTAATGACTAGCGAATGCCCTGTATTTAAATATATGAATATAATTTCACTTTATGTGCTTTATATTTCTTGGAATTAAATATACTCTGCTTTAAGCATGCTTTTAAAGTTAATTGATATTAGCCATTTTTCTCTCACGTCCTCCCAAAAGTGTTTCCCATTGTTATGCTAGACACCGAATATTTTATTTAAACATATGGTTCAGTCATTAAATTTTTATAGAAATAAATATACTCTGCTTTAAGCATGCTTTCAAAACAAATATATAGTTATTTTTCTTTTAAGTCCTTCCAAAAGTGTTTCCCTTGTTTTGTTAGACACCGAATATGTTGAATAAGGAGTGGTCACTTTAACCATCAGTCACATGCAACCCAATCTGAGTCACTTTTCTGCACTATCAAATTAACCCCCGAAACAAGATGAGTCATATTTTTGCAAAGGCTATTGAATCGAAACCCACTAGACTTCCACGTTTAGATAAGCTGTCTTCGGTTGCAGTTGCATTTCGAAGTGATCACAGAGCCAATTTGGAGTTTTTCAATTGCTGGAAAGTGTGTGTCTGAGACAATTGTCGAATCTCGTGTGCCCGGGGGTCATTTATGCCACACAATGGCAGATACGTGTTAAGCATCGCGGTGCCTCATCAGCGGAAGAAAAGGAGAAAAAGCAGAAAGCATCACCAGGAAGAAAGCAAAGGGGTACGAAAAACGCCCGCATAGACAAAAGCACGACAAGCACTTTAGCATGTCGCAATGTCGCCGAAGGGAAAGGGGAAAACTCAGCGAGCTGGGTAGCACAACAAAGCCAAAAAAAAGACAGAAGAAGGACTACTGCACTCCACTTCACACTCCAGTTGAATATCGCTAGACGTTGCCTATTTAGAGATTTCCCGCTTTCTCCGCTTTGTTTTCCCGGTCTCCCACTTTTGTCTCGTTGAGAATTTGCACGTGTGTGTTTATTTAAAGAAATTGCTTCACTCAGCCGCACACACAAAAAGGATACAAAACACAGGGAATGAGGAGCAGTAAGGGATGAGGGTTTCACTCGGCAAAAATATATAAGTCCTTCGAACAGAGTAAAAAAATAAATTAATTCTTACAATTTAAAAGTCTCACAAAAGTAATAATTTCATTTAACAATGATTTTTTAAACTATAAATTTAAAAAAATTAAAGATAGTAAAGGGATATACTTTTGTTAAGCTTTTGTTGCACAGTGTATCCACTTCTATAAAGCGACAGCAGGAAATAAATAAACAAATGAAGATGAGCTCTTCTGTATGTGTGTGAAGTGAGCTGCAACTGGGAGAAAGGAAAGGATTTTATGACTCCTTTTCAACTGTTTCCTTTTTTGTACGCACTCGATGTGCTGGCAGGATGTGTCTGAGTGTAGTGCAATGGTCGGGAAACCCTTCAAGCCAACACCCGGAACTAGTTGCAGCCAGATCCCCTTTGCGACCCACACACACACACACTAAATGCTAATTAATTACGGCCACCAAATCTCATTAGAGCGGATGTCAGCTGGGTGACATCACGCACCACAATCAAAAAGCCATTTAAATTTGCTCCTCAATCTCTGCCCCAGCTCAAAATCAAAATTCAAATCTAACCAAACCAAAATTCGTTTTCCTTTGCAGTTCCCACTGAGGCACCATATGGAATGGAGGCTCTGCTGCTTAATTCCTCAGCGGTGTTCCTCAAATGGAAGGCACCCGAACTTAAGGATCGGCATGGTAAGCAAAGCTTAAAATACACTAACAATAGAAAATATTAAAAATATTTTTTATTTTATTATATTCTTTCAGGCATTCTCTTGAACTATCATGTTATAGTGCGAGGCATAGACACTGCCCACAATTTCTCTCGAATTTTAACGAACGTCACCATCGATGCCGCTTCGCCTACTTTGGTCTTGGCCAATCTCACCGAAGGCGTCATGTACACGGTGGGCGTGGCAGCCGGAAATAATGCCGGAATCGGTCCTTACTGTGTCCCAGCCACTTTGCGTTTGGATCCCATCACCAAGCGGCTCGATCCGTTCATCAATCAGCGGTAAGTTGGAGTCCTTTTTGGGACTAGTTTATATCTGTTGCCCCCTGTAAATGGATAATTTCTATTTATAATTTTGGTTATTCGTTCTCAGATATCCCATCAATCAGGACCATGTTAACGATGTGCTGACACAGCCCTGGTTCATAATACTCCTGGGCGCCATCCTGGCCATCCTTATGCTGTCCTTTGGCGCAATGGTCTTTGTAAAGCGCAAACACATGATGATGAAGCAGTCGGCCCTAAATACCATGCGTGGTAAGTGCACTGAAAACCTTTTTGTTTGGCGCCCAACGTGTGGCTTTTATAGGAAAGTCCCAAATTGGGCGCCAAATATAATACTTGTGGCGAATAATTGCTTTTTAAAGGTTGCTTAAAAACTTAAAAACAAAAATATTTTCGGTGTAAATCCTCCGTTATTCCACTATACATATGCATGTGCCACAGTTATTGGGGGTTTGTGGACATCCGACTGCGGCCCTCAAGCTCTGCATCCGTTGCGAGCTGCTAGTTTTCGTTTCCTTCCTCGCCAGACACGCCACACACACATTTGCATATATAAATAACGCTAATTTTCCATTGTTGGACACAACAACAACAACTAGAGCGGGGAACGGAAAATGGAAAAGAAAAAAGAAACCGAAATAGGTGCGAATAAATATTTTAGCAGGCAGAGCATAGAAGCCGCTCGACACTCACATGCCACACATAATAGAAATTAACATTTTGCACGTGACGCCAACTTCCCTTAGTTCGGAATTCCTCGACTCAACCCCCTAATGGCTGCCATTGCAATTATGCATTTAGTTTTGTGTGCATTATTAACCAACAAGTTGTGTGTGTGCTGGTCAGCTATATATGTATAGCTACAGGAAGGGAGGGTTGTGGTCTAATTGAAACTAGCAGCATTTCGAGGTGAGCGGAAAGGGAGAAAGGGAACGTAGCCTGTTCACTGGGGAACTGGGCATTTTGGATTGGATGGTCCGGGGAAATGGCCTAGATTTTCAAGCATTTAAAGCCTTTAAAGAGTGATAATAAGGAGTTAAATAAAAGAATATGAACTTTAATCTTTAAAGCTGACAATGAAGCGGCTCTCTCGACTGTCAAAACTCAGCACTCGACAATAGCGTAGACAAGCCAAAGCCAAAAAATCCAAATGGTCTAAAACAGGACAGCAAAAATACAAAAAAAGTTGCATATTCATGGGCGCCATTTACCATAAACTAAGCTGCAGAAAGGGAGATCAGAATATTCACCTGCCAGGCAACTGAACTGAAAAAAACAGACAAAAATATGAGGGAACACTAGACAGGAGGTGGCGGACTATAAAACACTCGCTTGATGCTCAGTTAAAACCCGGGGAGAGTTTAATTGGTTGCATTTTTTATGCAGCCCCCGCCGTTGCATTGGTTGTGTTTTGTTAGCAGGCAACGCAAGTGGAAAATTGACAATAATTTATTTGATTTTGTAGCCTGTGAGTGTGAGGAAAATATCCAGCCGCGACTTCACTGAATGGGGATAATATTATTTTAATGTGTTCAATTTATAGCAGTGGCTTTTAACTGTTCCAGGATTAAATTTCGATGGGGAAATATATTCTTTTGAGATTTTATATATATTTTATGTACATTTTTTTTTGTATTAATATTAATGGCACAATTTTATTATTTAAATATATCATCTGTTCAAACAAACCTATGTTCCGCATTTTTTTAAAACAATATTTTGAAAATTTCTAAAACTACATGCTAGTTATTTTGAAAAAAATTGATTTGGAAATCGTTATCCCCCAGAATCTCTTTAAAATAATCCCATCGAAATCCTTTGGCGGAACACACAATTGTCTAGGCAGCTCTTTTGTATGTTTTTGTTTAATTTCCGGAAAGCAATTTATTCGGCTCACAATTTGTTGCACCACATTTAATTGCTCTGACTGACTGTCCCCCGTTTTCCCTCCGTTTTTTCCCACTTTTCGACCCACCTGCAGGCAATCACACGAGCGACGTGCTTAAAATGCCGAGTCTATCGACTCGCAATGGAAACGGCTACTGGCTGGACTCCTCCACCGGCGGAATGGTGTGGCGTCCCTCGCCCGGCGGCGATTCGCTGGAGATGCAAAAGGATCACATCGCGGACTATGCTCCCGTTTGCGGTGCCCCGGGTTCTCCCACCACCGGCGGTACTGGTGGTGCCGGTTCCGGTGGTTCCGGCGGATCCGGCGGTGCGGGCAGTGGTGCCAGCGGCGGCGATGACATTCACGGAGGACACGGCAGCGAACGCAATCAGCAGCGGTAAGTTTTACCCCAGAAAAAACCAATCCAACAATATAGAGGGGCGGATAAAGGCTGACGAGCTAAAAACAATAACGAGTTAGGGATGCTCTTTTGAAAAAATTAAAAATTAAGGTTTTAAAATCAATTATAAAAGTGTCAAAAAGTATGCAACAATTTATTTTTAAGGCGGAAGTTTGATGGATTAATTACAAATGTCGACAATCTTGTTTTTATTGCATACTTGGGCACTTTGTTAATTATTTCATAACCCTAAAGATTTCTGTATTAAAGTTTTTAATAAGGGCCCTGGCAATTTTAGAAAACATTCGGCTTAACTTAACATAAATATAAACAAATTCTCTAATTTTGTGCGAAATTTCAAAATTAAAGACTATATATATTAAGGTAAAACGATTTAATAAATCCATAAACCTTAAGACCTCGTCAACATTAAACCTCCTACAAAGATAGTGTGTTTCGGCGAGACGGCAGCTCAAAGCGACGACAATAAAAATTCACCAAACTGTGAAATTGCATTTTTCTGCCGCGGCGACTACCAAAAAAAGCAAAGAAAAAGGAGCATCAAAAAAAAAAAAAGGAAAACACACCGAAAAAGCACACTTTTGGGCAGAGTTTTTCTTTCATTCTCCCCTGGGCAATAGGGAAAATCAAGTTACGAATAGAAATGTTGGCCACGCTATTTATGTTGATTTTTCGCCAAAGCCCAGTTGAGTTCGCACCGCAAAAAGAGCAATGAAATAATTAAGGCCTCCGAGTGTCGGCTTTAACACAAATTTAAGGTTATTGAAAAAATTTGCAAAAGGTTTCAGGGTTGGTTTAAAGTATGCTATGCATAATTTGGCCACGAATTCGCAATTAGTTTTGTGGTAGATGGCGAATCAAAGTTGAAACCATGTAGCAGGCGATCTAATTTATTTGTCTGGCCCCTGGCAAATGCATGAAAATACTGCCAAATGGGGCAGTGAAAATATTGTATCGGCTTGAATTTGTTTTGGCGCAATGTTTCTGGCATCGAATTGTAATTGTTATTTATTTGCGGCTGATTTTATACTGGCCGCAAATTGAACCAAAAATTATTTCGAGTGGTTTTAATATGATTTAAATACTCCAGATTTAAATTCAAGTGAGAAGATAACGAAGATAAATTACTAAATTATAAAAATGACATTTTGCTGTCATTCCTCTTAAAAGCAGTTCAACCAGAAAAATATGATGAAATCTGTTTAATGAAAAAATATACATGCCAGCCCAGCTGCTGCCCAACAAATGGCAATTAAATGCCAATCAGCCATCAAAAAGTCACACTAAAAATGCAGGGGTTAAATATCGAGAAAAGCAAAGCAAAAATGTTTAATTTAAAAATGCAATGTCTGGCACTTTTTCCAGCGACTACTGTAAATAAATACACAGCCCAGATAATTATAATTATTTTTGCACACTTAATTAGCCATTAAAACGCAAATTGAAAATGAGTCGCTGTGGGTGTGTGCAATATAAGAGAAATATTAATAATTATTGCAACAAAATAATAACCATAACAATAAAAGTAATCATGCAATAATGAGTGTCATATGTGTTGGCGAAAATTCGTTGATGAGCTGACCAGAGCTGAAAATACTCTACTCTAGGAAGGCCAAGGATAACGAAAGTCCAAGGTTTTTAAGAAATAAATGTAGTGCTCTCCTCGAATAGCTTTATGATAATTAATTCGTTTAATAATTTTAAATGCTTTTTCCGCCGTTGAGCCAGACATTTGACAAGCTCATTACTATTCCGTGTACACAGGACCAACTTTCGTTCCTCGGCGGCACTCATTAAGGGCATTAAAAGCCTTCTATGTGGAGTGGCTGGGCTTTATCCCCTTCGCCATGGCAACTCCATCAATGCGCCATATATTTTTACAAGCTTTTCAGAGTTTTAAAATCGCTTTTTTTCCCCCTTTTTTCGGGTTGAGTTTGAGTCGGTCCCCCGCCAGGTTAATCCGTTTTCAGTATTTAAATACGAAAATAATGCTAAAAATGCGAGAACGAAGGGGTGTGGCATGGAAATTGGGGCTGCTTTCCGAGGAAAGCTCCCAGCATTTTCACCTTTGTTTTAAGCTGGTAATTTATTTAATGGATGTAAGGATAACCGTCTCCAGCACTATTTTCCCACCTGATCTTGGTCTATGTGTGCCTTGAAAATGTATGTTTTTGGGAAATCCCAACTAAATTCACATATTTCCCGCTTGGAAAAGCACGCAGGCAGCAGCAGCAGCCGAATGCAAATTTCCAACCGAGTCATAAATTTCACAAATTTATAACCAAAGTGGGAAGGGGGTGGGGAGGCACAACTCAGGGGAATATTGTAATAAACAAGCCAAGTAATAACCGAGTGTTTTTTGTTCTGTTTTTATCTGTTCATTTGCAGGTACGTGGGCGAGTACTCCAACATACCCACTGACTATGCGGAAGTGTCCAGTTTTGGCAAGGCCCCCAGTGAATATGGGCGGCACGGCAATGCCTCACCGGCGCCCTATGCCACCTCTTCGATTTTGACGCCCCACCAGCAGCATCAGCAGCAACAGCAGCAACAGCAACAGCAACAGCAATCGCGTTATCAACAGCGACCAGTAGTGGCCGGTTATGGCCTGCAACGTCCCATGCATCCGCACTACCAACAGCAACAGCAACAGCAGCAGCAGCAACAGCAGGCACACCAGCAACATCAGCAGCACCAGCAACTACCCCCGAGCAATATCTATCAGCAAATGTCCACCACCAGCGAGATATATCCCACGAATGTGGGTCCGCCACGCTCCGTTTACTCGGAGCAGTATTATTACCCGAAGGATAAGCAGCGACATATTCACATAACCGAGAATAAGTTGAGCAATTGTCATACCTACGAGGCAGCTCCTGGAGCCAAGCAATCCTCGCCCATTTCCTCGCAGTTTGCCAGTGTGCGACGACAGCAATTGCCGCCAAATTGCAGCATTGGCAGGGATAGTGCCCGTTTCAAGGTGCTCAATACGGATCAGGTCAAGAACCAGCAGAATCTCCTCGATCTCGATGGTTCGTCCCTATGCTACAATGGTCTGGCGGACTCGGGCTGTGGCGGTTCGCCATCGCCCATGGCCATGTTGATGTCGCATGAGGATGAACATGCTCTGTACCACACGGCGGATGGAGATTTGGATGATATGGAGCGGTTGTACGTGAAGGTGGATGAGCAACAGCCGCCATTGCAGCAGCAACAACTTATACCCCTCGTGCCACAACATCCTGGCGAGGGACATCTGCAATCCTGGCGAAACCAGAGCACACGGGGCAGTCGAAAGAACGGCATCCAGGAGTCCATCAAGGAGCCAAACGAGCTGATCTATGCCCCGGGAAGTGTGGCCAGCGAAAGGAGTTTGCTGAGCAATTCGGGCAGCGGCACCAGCAGTCAGCCAGCTGGCCACAATGTCTGACCTTTGCCCTCTGGTTCAGCATCCTTGGGCCAATCTCAATCGAAACCGCACTCACAATCACAATCACAATCCCAATCCCAGAGCGATTTGCACTCACAGGAGCAACTTTATGCACGCGAAGTGCGGGAATTACTCGCCTGGTGCGAACGCTTCAACAATGGAGGTGTGGAAAACTTTGAATAAATTGGGAAAGGGAAAGGGTATTTGCAGAGGTTGATGTCTGAGGAAAGGGTATGCGAAGGTAGAGGGGTTCTGATTTAAAAGCAAAGAAAGGAGCGCCAAGGGAACGAGGAGTGTTTTTTAGATGTAAACTGTTTTTGGTTACAAATTATCCATTTTTGGGTTACAGAAATTAAAATCAGAAAAAAACAATTTTAAACACTTTTGAAAAGATTTTATTGGTTTGCAGTCATTTCTTATTGGTCTAAAGGTTTAAAAATGAAATTTCATAAGTAGTTTTTAAATCAAAGCATTTAAAGTATGTATTTTGCAGAAGAAATCTATTTTTTGAGAGGATAGTACTATTCCATATATATGTTTTTAAAATCCGAGTTCGATTGAAATTAATTACAACATTTTAATTTGCAGAACAAGTCAACCAATTTTTTTTCAAGCAAGTGTTATAATTCAAATAAGGTCATATCTCAAAAAATATGTCGTTTTCATTGATCAATAACTTTATTTTATTTGTTTTAAAACCAACTTTTTAAGTCAAATGCACATTAAAACCAAGAAAATGGTTGTTCCATTAACAAACTAAAAAACATCATCTCATTGAAAAGAAGTAGCTCGTTTCCCTTGCTGCCATTGTCACAAACTGAAATAGTGACCAAGACTGAGACTGACAGAGTGCGAGAATCGTGTGAGGATTACTTTTAATTTGATTAGTATTACAAAGTTTCGTTTCTATATGATGAGAAGCCGATTTGTCGGCCCTATGCTAGTGATAGACATATTACCCTTTTTCTCCAACTCTCCTACTCTACCTATTCTCTAACTCGCGCTAAATCTCCGACTAAGAAACTGCTTTCGTTACACTGTAGACTAAGGTTAGCTCTAGCAAAGATCATTGTAAATTAAACGAAAAAAAAAGTATGATAAGTTCCTCCAAGTATGCAGACGATGATAGCCAAAACGCTGCGTTAGCTTTAGGATACATATACATATATATAGAAAACACCCAACTTAGATAGATCGATGGGGCAGCATTTTGTTTGTTACTTAAGGGGTTCGTAATTAGGCTTATATCGATTCTATACCCATGAATGTTTATCCACTAAGTGTACATATTGTAATGCACTAGCTGTAGTTAATTATACGTACATATACATATACATATACATCTATAAATATCAAATGAATTATTCAATCTAATTATGCAAATGTGAACACAAATGAGTAGACATAACAAATAATATTTAAACATAAAGAGTTACAGACAAGTGAATAAATTGTGCATATAGTAATTTAAAATGTAATAATTATAGCAGCCCACACACACACCCCCTTAAATTAGTTGTTGTTTGAATACATATAGTAATAGAAATTGCATTAAACAAAAATACCACCAAGGCATATATGAAAAACAATCCTTCAATTTCGAGCCAAGGAAAGCAAAGAAATCAATTTTTGTCCACTTCTTTGGTTCGCACTAATGAACTGTACTCACAGGCAGGCAATTATTTATAGATATATCCATCGATTTGTGCCGAAATATCTCTTTTCGAGAATTTTCAGCAAACACAGGTTCGTTTAGCATGTTGTTTATTGCACCCAAATTGATGGAAATTAAGTGCGTTTGTATGTGTGTCTATGCGTAATTGTAATTATTGATATTGAATACGTATTTACAATGTAGCAATTACAAAAGCAAAAATAAAAAATGCCATAATTATGAAATTAAAACAAACAAAAGCTTTTATTTACTGTTTGGGCTCTGTTGACTTTGAGTTGGGTAAATATTCAGCAGCTGAAATGATTGAAATGAAATGGTGAGTATGTTTATATTATCTTAATTGATGATATCTCTTTATTCTTGCGTAACTAAAGTACATAGATAACTTTAATTGTTGTTTAAAGGAAAAAGGAGAATACTAATATAGGTTTATGAAATAAATAATGTTTACTTTTATTTTTTTATTTTAATTGTATTTATTATTATGATTTAATATTAAATTTAAGTATTTGTTATAAAATTTTGAATTTAAAAGTCAGGTATTTATTTTTACTGTTCCATTTTTTTTCATTATGGTATGATATATGTAACTTGACATCCACCGGTTCAATTTTTCCTCTGCAAAAATAGTAATTTCATTCTTGGATGCCATTTTTCTTGGATGCCCTTTTTCTCTGCTGCCTAAATGCCGTCAAACAAAACCCACAGAATCGGTTTTGCTCTTATTTCGCTAATTGAAAAGTCACAATTTGCCACCTGTGACTGTTTTCCCCGCTTAATCGCCAGCCCTTTTTGGAATTTTCAACGAGTTTTCTATGACCCATCCTTTTTATGGCGCGACTAATTTCAGCCGGCAACGCGCTTTTAATTAGCTGCAAACTCCAGGACCCAAATTATGCATGACTCCCAAATGCAACAGTGTGGGTTTTTCTGTGTGTGTGTATGTTTGTGTGTGGCGACCGCGCCCATTTTAACTACAAAATAATTACGTGCTAGGCAATTAATGGCCCAAAGGGGTTAGAGTTACAAAAATCCGGTAATTTTTTGCCCCTCGAAGCTGAAGCTTCCACGTGCGCCATGTGGCAACATCCGGAGGTCATTTGTTGCAAATCGACAACCATTTCCGGTGCATGAAATTCCGGACGGAGAGTGAGCGAGAGCGGTACAAAGCGGAACAACATTTGTGAGTTGCGGTTTTTTAATGCGAAAAAGAACGCATCACATTGTTTAATGATAATTTAATCAGCTAAAGGAGAAGGGAAAAACAAGTTGAAGAAAAAAGGATTCCAAAGGTAATTAAACAGGAAAAACTGTTTGTAATTTTAAAAAAATATATGAAGTAGTAGAACAAGTATTAAAATTAAACAAAATAATATAAAATGGTTAGAAAATATACTTGACTGCTTAATATTAGAATATATAATATAAATAATAATAATAATGAAATTTTATGTTCAAGTGCAACCAATGTCTTAATAATAATATCAACTAAATATGAAAAGAAAATAATTTGACGAAAGTTAAATAGTGATGAATAATAAATAGTTACTAAAATATTTTATCAAATTTTCTGCCCATGTGTAAACAATATCTTAGCAACTTATTTTTGAAGTTATTGAAGCTTAAAAGATATTTATTTTTATCAGAGTTGGTGACATTTTTTTAAATTTCATGTTCCAAAGGTTTAACATTATCTTATCAGCTTATTTTCAATGATTGAAGTTTAAATGATACATCTCGAAGTTAGCTAGTCCTGTCCAATATATGTATTATCATTTAATAGCTTAAGTGGCAATACACAAAGTCATTGTTTATCTTGTGCCCAAAGCAAAGCAAAGCAAATCAGCCAGTCAGCCAGCATCCTCTTGAAGGACAGACAGATGGGTTTTCGGTGGGGCAACAGATGCGTTCGGCTTCAACTTGTCACCTAACGTTTAACGATAAATTTGCTGACAGCGACAACGGATAATTAGTTTCACTAACGAGAAAACTTCCACTGGCACCCACACACATGGCTCATGGATGGGAGCCGCCCTAATGCAACATGTTAACTTCGAGGGGAAGGAGCTGAAGCAGGATTTGCAAGGATAACAACGGAGCCGAGCTGATGTTCCACTGAACCGACGACTATATAGCAACAGGATGGACCATCCGGCGTAACGATTCGCATGCTTCAGTGCATCGTTCTCCTTGAGCTAATAAAATGATTATGTGTTATTTTTATGCTGACAGCACAAGGGAGTAAGTAAAATGGAATGGGGATAAGGACTTTCAGGGACAGACTCCTGCCAGCAATTGCCCATGATTGTTTACATATTAATCGCAACTTATAATGGGCAGTAAAACCATTTTTGTTCGAGCGTTTACATAATTGAAGTGGCTTAATTTAAGCTCAAGGGATGTAATAAGCCATGATGGGAAGTTTGGCATGAAGAGTTAGCTAAAATAGCAGAGAATTTCATACAAAATGAAAATGTTGTTTATGTGAAAGGTGATCTATTGTATAATAATTTTTAGAATACTATTTTAACAAGGTGATAGAAGCTTTAAAGAAAAATTTTAAGACACATTAAAAATTATGTATAAAAACTCTATATATTTTAATTTATTTTATTTTGCAAGGGATCAATATTTCTTTTCTCTTAATTCTTAGCCTCTTTGTTCTTTTTACGGCAGACATTTCAATGTTCTGAGAACTTTAAAGTTTAATTAATCGATAGGCTTCAAAAATTCCCAATTCAATCAACTTGAAAACGCATCAGCCGAAACTCGATGAGCAACTTGAGAGCTGTTTAACTAAATTAACAATTCCAGGCATGAAAACTTTTCAACTTTCCCCCCTCAAAACCCCCCTCTTTTGAATTGAAATTTTTTATTGTTAGGTGAAAAGGCAAACAAACACGGAAATAAACAAACGAACAAAACGCACGACAGACTAAAGGACGAAGGACAACAACGGAAGCTGGCAAACAAGCGGAAGGCTCTTCTGGCACTCAACTAATGGCAACATAATGCGTTTATTGTGGGGGACTCAACTTCAGCTGGGGAATGGGATTTGGATTGGGTATGGGAACCAGCTGGGGAATCCCCCAAAGAAGTGATAACCCGGCGCAAATGTCAACGCAAAAGTCAATCAATGCATTGATGCTGAGCAGATGAGTGGAGGCAGGAGGCGGTGGGGCGTGGCACGGGGCAAAGTGGGCCGGACTACATCCCCAGGGGGTGGCGCAATGCTCCCGTAGGCGTGGCAGACACAACCAGACAAAAACTGGGGAGGTTACAGTGAAAAAAACAATGGGTTTTTATCAACAATTTAAATTGGTGCAGTATTTAACGAAAATTAAAATTAGGGAATTAGTTGATTGCTTTACTCAAATAATCGATAATTCTTAAGAATAATATTTATAAAATAAAAATAATTATATTTTT